AGTTTATGGAAATTCACTGAATAATACAGTTACAATATGTATGTACTTCAGTATACATGGTATCTCGATACATTTTATATAACTACGTGAAGCTCTAATGGAAAATTCCAAGCATTGATCATCAGGTGAAGAAGGATTACAGGAATATCTGTTAAATATTTAGGAGACTACTGACTCACTTGGGGATGAGGCTGGTCCTATATACAGCAGAACTGAAGCTAGTTTGTTTGGCAGCACTGAAGAAAACCACTGCTAAGCAAATTTGCTTCAGTAGGTAGCCAGGAATTAAAGATGAAGGTAGATTATTTCCTTCAATGTTGCACTAAATCAAATAGCCATATCAACCCAGGAAAGAGTTGCTGCATCCAGTGCAAGGTGATTTACATTTGGACCCCAAAGAAGGAATTTTACATATGTTATCTCATTTAATCCTCACAAGGACTTTGAGAAACAGTTATTATTCTCTTCGCATATGGAGAGGAGCAGAGACGTCAGCACAGAGAAGACTCCTTGGAACTAGATGAGTATGATTGATATAAATCCCTTAACTTATTACTGAGTCTTATACGATTCAGGACTCCCTTGGCTGCAAGTGAAAATCACCCAATTCAAACTAATTTAAGGCTAGGGGTCGGGGTTCCTGGGTCTGGGAAATTTAGGAGTGAAGCTAGTTTGTAGCATGGCTTCATCCAGAGTCCCGTAAATTCTTCTCTCCCTGCCTCTTGGATAAGTCACCCCACGTGGCAAGCAAAGTATTTCACAGCATCCCCAGCATCAGATCCTACAATCCAGAAGTCTAGCAGAAAAACTATGCTGCCACCTGCTCTCTGTAGCTGCTGCTCTCTGCTCTCTCCATACCCTAGAGCTTTTAGACCATGGCGCTCCGATTTCTCTGGCATGTTGCCGATGATGCAGAATTTCCAAATTTGTGAAGTTCTCAAAGCACTTACTGTAACAAGCGTGTCTATGTCTAGTTTTGGAATTCCATCTATTTGGAATCTGAAAAATGAGCATTCATTCTTCAGAGTCAGTAGCAGCCTTACATCGCTAGCAACAAACGTTCACTGTAAGCATGTTATATACAGGGCTGTGGACAGCTACTCACGCTGGGGGAACTGACTCCCCTTCAGAACTGTCTCTCACCCTGTGACCACTTAATGGAGTCTAGAAGGTCGTGAGTCCCCTTCCACATGAAAAGAAGTTAACTGACCTGTGATTAACCAGATTTTGACAAGACGCATCTCCATGCAGTGAGATAAGGCTCAACTACCAAATTTTGATGAGATCAAGGTAGTCAGAGGTGTGATGAGCTCTCCAGAGTTGTGAGGCCTTGCAGCAAAAGACTATGAGGAGAGCAGGAACCCTGGAAGCACATTTTGAATGCGTTCTTCATGTCACATTGGACTCACAGCTGTGGTCAGTCAGGTACCCCGGGAAACAGACTAGGAGTGTGGGGAGTTCTTTTCAAAGTGATCTCAAACAACGTCCAGAAGCAAGTGTGGGCAGAGAAGCCACGCAGTGATGATGCAGCTGCAATACGGGACCCGGCCTGTTCCCCTAGAGAAGCCTCTGAGCTGGGAGGTTACTTCAGAGCTGTCCTAAACAGAAGTGATGGGGTGGCCTCTGTGCCCTGCCCATGCCATGGGTAAGCTACTGGATTAAAGCTGCCATTGGGAAGGGGGCATGATTTGCAGCGACCCCTCCCTTCAGCCGAAAAGCAGTTTCTGAAAGAAGCTCAGTTGTGAACTGTCAATAGGCACAGGGGTGGGAGGGAAGAAAGCATTGATCCTGAAAGGGCGATCCGGGCCCCGCATTATACCACCCACTACTCTATATTATTTGATTCACGTGACTCTCCTGTGAAGCAGTTACTATAATCACCATCTTAAAATGAGGAGACAGAGGCTCAGAATTATCTAACTCAGTGATTTCCAATCTTTTTTGGCACCAAGGACTAGTTTCATGAAGACAAAATTTTCCATGGATAAAGAGTGGGGTTGGTGGTGGGGATCGTTATGGTTTCATCACGATTCAAAGGAGTGGACAACTTAGATTCCTCACATGCACAGCTAGCAGTTGGGCTCATACTCTTACAAAAATCTAACACCACCCTTATCTGACAGCAAGCAGACCTCAGGCAGTGCTGCAAGCAGTGGGGACAGGCTGTATATACAAATGAAGCTTCACTTTCACCACAGCTCACCTCCTCTCTGAGGCCCAGGGGCTGGGGACACCTGATCTGACCTCTTGAGGGCCACATAACCAGGATATGAACCCAGGTCAGATGGAATGAAAAAAATCCATCTGCTTTCTACAACACCTCCCTGACTCATAAAGGAAGCAAAAGGGAAAAGAGAGAGGGGATGGAGCACTGGGGACAACCTCACCTCCTGCACAATTTTGTCAGAAATGAATTAGGAAATGCGGTAGTTAAGTGGTGAAGAGAACAGTCTCTGGAGTCACCCTGACTGGGTTTGAGTCTCCGCTTTGTTGCACATTGAGTCCCCTTCCACATGAAAAGAAGTTAACTGACCTGTGATTAACCAGATTTTGACAAGACGCATCTCCATGCAGTGAGATAAGGCTCAACTACCAAATTTTGATGAGATCAAGGTAGTCAGAGGTGTGATGAGCTCTCCAGAGTTGTGAGGCCTTGCAGCAAAAGACTATGAGGAGAGCAGGAACCCTGGAAGCACATTTTGAATGCGTTTTTCGTGTCACATTGGACTCACAGCTGTGGTCAGTCAGGTACCCCGGGAAACAGACTAGGAGTGTGGGGAGTTCTTTTCAAAGTGATCTCAAACAACGTCCAGAAGCAAGTGTGGGCAGAGAAGCCACGCAGTGATGATGCAGCTGCAATACGGGACCCGGCCTGTTCCCCTAGAGAAGCCTCTGAGCTGGGAGGTTACTTCAGAGCTGTCCTAAACAGAAGTGATGTGGTGGCCTCTGTGCCCTGCCCATGCCATGGGTAAGCTACTGGATTAAAGCTGCCATTGGGAAGGGGGCATGATTTGCAGCGACCCCTCCCTTCAGCCGAAAAGCAGTTTCTGAAAGAAGCTCAGTTGTGAACTGTCAATAGGCACAGGGGTGGGAGGGAAGAAAGCATTGATCCTGAAAGGGCGATCCGGGCCCCGCATTATACCACCCACTACTCTATATTATTTGATTCACGTGACTCTCCTGTGAAGCAGTTACTATAATCACCATCTTAAAATGAGGAGACAGAGGCTCAGAATTATCTAACTCAGTGATTTCCAATCTTTTTTGGCACCAAGGACTAGTTTCATGAAGACAAAATTTTCCATGGATAAAGAGTGGGGTTGGTGGTGGGGATCGTTATGGTTTCATCACGATTCAAAGGAGTGGACAACTTAGATTCCTCACATGCACAGCTAACAGTTGGGCTCATACTCTTACAAAAATCTAACACCACCCTTATCTGACAGCAAGCAGACCTCAGGCAGTGCTGCAAGCAGTGGGGACAGGCTGTATATACAAATGAAGCTTCACTTTCACCACAGCTCACCTCCTCTCTGAGGCCCAGGGGCTGGGGACACCTGATCTGACCTCTTGAGGGCCACATAACCAGGATATGAACCCAGGTCAAATGGAATGAAAAAAATCCATCTGCTTTCTACAACACCTCCCTGACTCATAAAGGAAGCAAAAGGGAAAAGAGAGAGGGGATGGAGCACTGGGGACAACCTCACCTCCTGCACAATTTTGTCAGAAATGAATTAGGAAATGCGGTAGTTAAGTGGTGAAGAGAACAGTCTCTGGAGTCACCCTGACTGGGTTTGAGTCTCCGCTTTGTTGCACACCAGCTTGGGCAGTTATTTGTGCCTCAGGTTCCTATTTATAAAATGAGATAGTAATAGCCTCACAGGTTATTATGACATTTAAATGAAATGAGGCTACATCTCAGTGGTAGACTGCTTGCTTAGCAGGTGTCAGGCCATGGGTTTGGTCCCCAGCAGTGAAAACAAACAAACAAAATAATAAATACAGGACATGCCAGGGCCTAGTGTTATACCAGGGCCACAATAAACACATGGCAAATATTAGCTACTAATATAACACTCCACTTACAGTAACTCTTTAAACAGCGTAGGCCTTGCCTCGCCTGCCATTCCACAGAATGATGCCTCCTCCTGACCACCATACACAGCCTCATCACCAAGGATGACACCAGGTGCTTCAGAGACCTGGATGATTCAAGAATTCAACTTTTAGAGGTAAAAGTGACTCCAGAAATCTGTCAAAGCCAACCACTTCTAAACTATCAATGCATAATCCTGGAGGCAGAATAAATAAGTGAACTGTTAAAGCAACTCTTACTGTCTGCCAAACAAAATAGCTTTTATTGAAGTCAGCTTTTTAAAAATCTCGGGCAGTGCATGAGTGGAGCTAAGTCTCAAAGAAGCCCTGGTTGAGTTTTGTAATCTAAATCCCACAGCCTGGAGAGGGAGATCATTAGCTTCCTTGCTGCAATTTTGCCACCACTTCCTCTGGATAGTGAACAGAGGGAGCTAAACCCTCTTGCATGTTTCTTGGGTGTTATATTACCACATAGCCCCCGGAGCAGCTCAGTGACTCAAGGGAATTCTGCCCTCAGCCCAGTTCTGCCCACATGTAGCCCAGTGAGAAAAGGACACGGTAATTTAAAATAACCACTTTTTAAAAAATGATTTTTAAGAAGAAAATTATTTAACCAAGTGCTGTGGATCAAATGGTGGCCCCACTACAACAGATATGTTCACCCAGAATGTGACCTTATATGGAAAGTCTTTGCAGACACAATCGCAGATCTCCTGACGAAGTCATCCTGAATACTCTGGATGCGGCTTAAATCCAGCGAGGTGTCCTTATGAGAGAAAGACAGAGGGAGATTCAAGACACACAGAGAAGAAGGTTATGCGAAGACAGAGAGAGAGACTGGAGTTGAGCAGCCACCACTAGGAAATGCCAGGGGGAAGAGGCAAAGGAGAGGGGGATCTCACCTCCAGGGTTCTGAGACAGCATGGCCCTGCTGGTACCTTCCTTTCAGACTTCTGGCCTTCAGAACTACAAAAAATAGAATTTCTGTTTTAAGTGAACTAGTTTGTATTGAGAATTTGTTACAACAGCTGTAAGAAACTAACACACCGAAGTGGGCCAACCCAAATGTATAATTCAGGTTCACCGCTTCCTGTGTAGTTCACGAGTATATTTGTACTGACCACCAAGATGTCCATCATTTTAGACATATTCAATAAATTTAAAATGGCCATTGTAAAAACTGTGACTCAATTTTTGTTTCAAGAACAATACATAAAAACCATCCATGGTCTATTGACATTTGCTCTACATATCTTTCTAAACAAAGAATAAGAAGGCTTAGACTCAGAAAGGCAAGTTCTAGCTACTATGTGGAACCTAAAAAGTGACATGAAAGAGGAAATTATTAGACAGAGGAAGGGAATAAGGGGGAAGGGGAGGGAGTACGAGGGAGGGTAATAGCGAGGATGGACATGATCAAAATGTATGCACTGAAACTCAATATTTTGCAAAAGTAATAAGCACTATAAAATATATTTTAAAAGATAATGTAGGCCCTACGTCCTATCCTCTTGTCCAAATGTAAACCACACCTGGGATTGGGCAATTGTTTTCATTAGTATGGAAATATCCAATTATTTTCCTATCAATAGACACAGACCAGAGATCAAAAACTGAAATGAAGCTGGGTGCAGTGGCAACACACCGGTAATTCCACCTACTCAGGAGACTGAGGCAGGAGGAACACAAGTCAAAGGTTGGGCGGTGTAGCTTAGTGACAGAGCAAGTGTTTAATCTCCAGTGTTTAAAAAAAACTGAAATGAAGGCAAGCAGTCATATTCTTCAATGAAGCAGGGAACACAGGAGATATTCAGGTGTCTTGGCTGCTATGCAAGCTGGCAGGGGCATCTTGGTCTAAAGTTAGAGCCCCAACTCTGCCAGCTGTGTGTTGTTACACTAGAGTCAGGCTGAAAATGACCAAATTATCTGAATTTTCAACTAGATGCTAGAAATTCAACTGACACTAGAAATTGAAAATTTTATATGATATTACCTCTTTTTTAAAAATTCTAATTCTAGTTTTCAGGCCAAATAAAACACTGAAACTCTGACCTCTAGTTGCCACTTGTGAGTTAGACTTTTACAAATGAAGGCCATTTCATTCTTCTCAGAAGTTAAAAGAAATCCAGCTTTCAGACCACAGTGCCTGGGCTCCTTTGTTGAAAGAGATATGAAAAATTCTTCTCGTTCTTTGCAGATGAGCCAAAAGCCTTGAACACAAGATACAGATACTTTTGTAATCAAGTTCTTTTGACACATGAATTTTTAAAAAAATAAATTGTCCTACCAAGTAAGCTCTCGGCCAAGCATTCAGTAAATATTCAACGAATAGTACCTGTCATTGTGGATATAATGGGTGTACTCTTTCTCCTCCTCCTTTGGATAGTCTAAGAGTAAGGAGAGGAGTGGGATAGCATGTTACCTAGAAAAAAATGGTGCAAGAGCCTTTATTCCTCAGGCTTTCACCAACCATACATGAAGGATCTGTTCAAAAGTGAAAGGTCCTTAATTTTCTCCATTACCCTCAAGGGCAAGCACAGTCATTGGAAACTTCCACTGTGGGACCAGAGGCAACAGTACTTTGTATTCAGTGTGGTCTCCTACACCTATCTCCATTAATCATTCTGTCTCTTCTGGGGTACAATACAGGAGCAGCTTGTAGCCCACTTAGTCCTCATCAGCCTTTGGGGGCCTCTCTGCTACTTGGACAGCATAGAACCTCTAGGAGCCTAGGGTTTGAGGAATAGGTTAAGAATTGCTTTTACTTCCTCCTGGGAACAAAAACAGGACCACTACTCAGGCTCACTTGGCTGCTTGGAGGAGCAGGTCAAAGGCAAAGAAGTTTCTAGAAATTTTTCTCATGCTTTCATATTGTAAGAAACAAACAGAAATTATCTCACTGGCTCTGGCTGTGTCATTATCATTTTCTGGCGATATTCCCTTAATATCCAGACTTTGGAGTCTGCATAGGAGTTAGGACTCACTGATCTCTGTCTGCCGTTAGCAAAGCTACCAAGCCAGGGCCCGCCCAGGTCTGTCAGTGGTAGACCTAAGGCACAGGCGACAGAGACACGGAGGCTTTCTCTCAGCACACTGGGACTTCACGAAGCTTCAGACCCCTAGTCGAGGCCAGAATACATGGTTTCCAGACTGGAACATTGATCAGACCCTAGGAGGGTCCAGCAAGGGTCCTTGTGTAATCATCTCTAAGAAGCTGTGTGAAGAAGCCACAGTCTCTCTCTGCTACCGCTACTTCAAAATGTGACCAACAGCTCCCCTGTCTGTTGCTAGGAACTGTGCAGATCAAAAGAGAAAAATATGTGCATCTTGAAAAGTTATGTAAGTTGCCAACTCCTTGCAAAAAAGATAAAGGAACGTTTATTCTGCCCAGAAAGGGGGTGGGGGGAAGAGCTTGTCTATCCTGTTAAAACTCTAGCCTTGTACTATTATTTAAGAATTTGTTATACCTTTCATGAACCCTGCTAGCTAGAATGACTTTGGTTATATAGATAATTGTGATTTCAAATTCTGAAACTTTTCCAAAAAGTTTTTGAAACAACATACAGTATCATATAACTAACTAGAAGTTCAAAGTAAACAAATCTTTTAAAGTTTACATAGGCTGTGTTGTGACCATGCTGCCCATAGTTAAATACAAAATTTTTGTTTTTGTTTTTGTTTGTTTTGAGACAAGGTCACACTATATAGCCTTGAACTCGCTGTGTAGCCCAGATTGGTCTTGAACTCACAGCAATCTTCCTGCATCAGCCTCCTGAGTACTGGGATTACAGGCGTGTGCCACCATGTCCAGTTTACAAAAAAGTATTTTCATAACAAAGCAGTATTAGGTCAGGATTTATAGCACAATTATAATCCTTTCAACTGTGAATCTGGAGTTTAAAATAATAAGAAGGTTGACCGTTTCCCTACTGTCTCTATTCTACACAGGTGGCTATACCATCTACTTGGCAAATTCCAGAGCTTGAGGTGTTAGAACAATGCCCTCAACTGATTTTCTTTTAGATTTTTAAGCTTAGGCTCATATTTTAAAATTCAGTAGTAATACTGTGCTAATGAATTCAATCATTCCATGTTTGTGAAAAAATAACTTGAAAAGACATTGGAAAAATTATTCAATATATTAAAAAAATATTTTCCAGACACATTTAAAACACAGTAATAAAACAGAAGTATAGAACTTGAGGGGCCCTAAGTGTACTACCCCATTCTGCAATTCAGCAGATGAAGAAACTGAGCCCATAGGTCTGGGCTTCCCACCCAAAACTGATGCTAGTAAGTCATAATCAAACTTGCTGCAGGAAAGTCTATTGACAGTAAAGAATTCTTTAGACAGATAACCATTATACATTATGTATCTGTGTAAGCACCCTTCCTCTTCCTGTAGATGGGTTAACTGTAACAGGATCTACTTAATATAATTAGGACATTAATATACAATGAACCTATAAGAGGTGAACTTGAAGATCTGCTCCCTGCTTGTATAGATTAAAATGAAAGGAATCTAACTAAAGTGGTTGTCATAGAATATCCAGAAGTGGGCAAAGCTGACTTAAGACCCATCCTGTGGTCTTCAATATCAGAATCACCTAGAGCTGTGACATTTAAGGTCAATAATAACACCCTAAACTTTTTATCATATATTTATGTAGTTAGTTGGAGACAAGTTCTGATATACCGTGAAGATAGACTGCCTGGCAAGTGCAAGGTCCTGAGTTTGATCCCTGGTACCAGAAAAAGAAAATAAAATAGACATTCTAAAATAAAACGGTAATTTGAAATCACATTATTTCTAAAATAATGTAAATACCACAATGATTGGTTGTCTTGTATGTTATGCACTAAGAACAAAAACATCTGAAAAATCATCTCTCTAACATTTGAAAATTTACGTCTTTCCTTTTCTTCTTAATATTTCCACAGAATTTAATCCTATTATGTTCTTATATTTATTATTTTAAAATTTTATTAATCACCATATTATACTTCTCTGCATGCAAAATATCAATCCAAATTAAATTTATAAGTGTTTTCTTATTTTCTATGACTATAATTCTCTAGGTACTAAAATTATTCTGATTTGACTTATCATTATAATTACTATTAATATTCAATAAGTTCAATATTTAATTAAAGATCACTAAACACAAAAAGTAATTTATTAGAAATGCTTCTCTTTGGGAAAATAATGAGTTTTTTCTTCAATTAGTTCATGTATCCATGAATTAATATGATTTAGAGCTAGAATAAAATAGGGTTTTATAACACCTCTCTTCCTTGTTTTTTTGTTTGTTTAATAAATGTAAACACTGAGAAATCATATTAAAAAGGAAAAAGGAACAGAAGAAACTTTATTACAATTCAATCAAGTTTTAAGTACTAAGTTATATTTCATAAACCGTGTGTCATCCAAAATTATGTTTAAGGGTCAGATGACAAGTGGATTTGATCCTGCTTTACACTGGTGAAAGTATAGTATCAGAAACTTCCTAATCTACAAAATGGTTTGTTAGTCAAAAGAGGCATTCACTTTCTCTATTTCTGGAATATCTACCAAGAAGACTCATTAAGTTACCATTCCTTACATTTGTTGCTCTTGTGCTTAGAGATATCATTTTTATCCTTTAGAAGTGGGCAAGATTAGGAGAACTATCCATCTTAATTTACACTTCTTCCAGTTCAATGTTTTCAACAAAATGTACTTAACACATGCTTTAAATGTATTACTGTCAAAACTTGGAACTCAACATACGGCATATTCAAGTTATGGAAAATAAGTGCCAAATAACCTAAGGAGCTAAATGTCTTTGTCAATTCAATCAGACATTTTATGTTCACAAAAAGCCTGGTTCCATTTGCTAATTCAAATTAATATGTTAATTCATGTTTCAAAAAAACTCTAGAAGCTCTACAAAATACCTCCAGGAAAGTACAATATAAGATTATTCAAAAATTAAATTGATATAATTTAATTAACAGATCCATCGATAGCATGACGAAGATGATAAGCAAGATGATAAATCAATTATCCACTTTTTTAATTACTTCACTTATAAAATGTAATGTACTGTGTTACTAAACTTTCAGGTTATTTGTGAAGTAAGTAGTACCATAAAGGGCAAAGTATTCTTTGGTAAATTTGTTTCCAACTCTGGTGTTCATTTCCTGGGAAAAAATATGCATCAAAAATAAAAATCAAACTCTAGTAAGAGAATAAAACAAACAAAAATCATTTCAAAAGATATATCTGATATAGGTAACGAACGCATACCCAAAATAGACAGAGAACTCCCAAACTCAGTAGTAAAACCAACAACTTTATTTAAAAGTGGGCAAAACATCTGAAAGGACGTCACTTCATGGCCGGAGCTGGAGCTCAGTGGTAGGGTTCTCAGCTAACGTGTGCAAAGCTCTGAGTTGGATCCCCAACACCTCCTCTCCCAAATCTCACTTCATGTTCAAAAAACATGAGAAGATGCTCAACATCATTAGGAAACTGCAATGCAAACAGCAATGAATGGCCATTTGAATGACTAAAATGCAAAACACTGACAACACAAGCTGGTGTGTAAGGACACAGAGCACTACACAGAGGGAACTTCCCTCTCCTTGCTGTGTGAATGCAAAATGGTACCATTCATTTGGAAGTCGACTTCACAGATTCTTACAAAACCAAACTTACTCTTCAGCATATGGTCAGCAGTCTCACTCCTTGGTATTCACACCAATGACTTGAAAATTTATCTTCGTAGAAGCCTGCCTATGAATGTTTATAGCAGCTTCATTCATAATGGCTAAAATGTGAACACAAGCAAGAGTTCCTCCTAAAGATGAATGGATAAACAGTGGTACACCCAGAAAATGGAAATTAATTAGTGCTAAAAAGAAATTACTTATCAAGCCACGAGAAGACAAGGAACAACATTAAACGCATTTTGGTAAGTGAAAGAAGACAATCCCAAAAGGCTACACCCTGCATGACTCCAACAGTGTTATGGCTTGTGTTAGCTGTTCCCCCAAAGCCTCATGCACATGAAGTGGGGCTTTCTTCTTCAAATTCAGAGGCTGAATCTGGAACGTGTGATGCTGGGATTAAGGACCTGTGATTACTAAAGTTCTACACGTGAGTGACTGGTTTGGCACTGCCCTAATCCTGGTAATCCGAATAAAATAAAAGGGGCAGAAAGACGCTGTTAACTTCCCTTGTTGCTTTTGCTGCTTCTGCTGCCATGAACTGTTGCTCCTCTGTCACTCTGCCTTGGAGCTGGCCAATTATGGACTGAAACCTGTAAGTCAAATAAACTTTTTCCCTTTTGACTTTGGATGTCAAGTATTGTTACCCAGCAATGAGGAAAGTAACTAACACAAACAATATAACATTTTGGAAAAGGCAAAAGTATGGAGATAGTAAAAAGATCAATTTTGTAGCCTTATTTGGAGAGGGAGGATGAAAAGATGGAGCACAGAGTACTTTTAAGGCAGTGAAGCAGTATGTATGCTACTGTCAGGGTGGACACCTGCCATCATGTGTCTGTGAAGACCACAGTGTACAGTGCAAGAAGTGAAGCCCAATGTAAACTGCAGACTTAACTACTCACAATGTGTCCATATTTGCTTTTCAGCTATAACAAATGTAACTGTACTAATAAATGGAGAAACTGGGAGGAGCTATATGGAAAACTATGCTTTAGTCAGCTTTTCTGTAAACATAAAGCTTCTCTTAAAAAGTCTATTAATTTTTAAAAAATCAGACTCCCTTAATTTTATTTAAATATATGATCAAAAATATCCCATAAATTAATGAAAGAAAAATATATGCATTACTAAGAATGCATCCAAAAGCTAGTATATTTATCAGCTGGAAGAAGGAAAGATGTACATAAATATGAATTTGATCATAATTAAAATATTTCATGATGTGATTTGATAATCAACCTTAACTGAAATCAATATTCCATTGAATAACATAAGAAAATCCAAAATAAATCAATAATTTATTCACGTGTTCATCCACAAAATTAGGTACTTATGAAAAACATTTAAAACAATCAGAATCACTTATATTTCTTTGACTGTTCATAATTGCTTTCCTTCTAGTCAATGACACATCCCTGGAATAAGTAATTGAATAGGTAAAAATAATTAACATTTACTACTGACATTCACTATTTCATATTGATGCCTTCTTGTTTTTTACTCACAATGTAATTCAATCCTTATTTTTATTTTTAAATATGGAACATTACATGAATATGCCTGCACAGGGGCTGCGCTAATCCTCTGTATCATTTCAATTTTAAAATATGTGCAGCTGAAGCAAGCACAGATGCATTTTCTAACAGGGGCCTTGTCCAGAGGAAGCAGCGGGACTTGCACTGCTCATAAGAAAGACAGCAGGACTGAAACAGAAACTATGATTACTTCAACCACCAGACTCTCAAATATCTCAATATCTGCTATTATACCTATTTATAATGCTGATTTCACTCTCCGAAAAAAAGGTTTCTAGGGCTTTAGAGTTATTTATTATTATTGGGGCCTGTTCTATAGTGTCCTGGAGGCTTTCATATGACAGCCAAGATGATTTAGAGTGGCTGATTGGCTTGTCTTTGTAAAGTGAGAAAAGGCCTATGTGGAAAACAAGCAAAGTATCAGGCAAATCATTTTAGGGAAAAGATTATAAGAAAGTTGAATTTCTGAAATTGAATATCACAAAGCTAATCAGGCATCTTTACACAAGAATCCAGTAGAAAGGCCACTAATGTAGATAATTTTTTTAAAAACACAGATTTATCTCCCTCTTACCCTATAATTGTTTTTCCAAAACTGGAAGTGAGAAGAGAACCCAGTATCCATATTTCTAAAAATTGCCTCCAGGAAATCTTGAGGATTAGCCATCCAGTTTGGAAACCCACTAAACATTTCACATTCAGGGGGATTAACGAGGTTGGCCTCCACCATCCATCACATTACTTATGCATTAAGTTTGTCTCAGAATGAAACACAGCAGACTACAAAATGGCATCTAACCTATCTAAATTGATTTCTTGCACTAAGACACAGGGAAATACTGACACTCACATATGACTGAAAGCGTTTGGTCCTAAGTGCACATTAATTTGACATTAAAAAAACAAAGCCAAAAATACTTCCTAGACTCAGAAGGAACTGGACCCAGGCATTTCTCTGCCTTTCTTCTTATTTTCTGCTCCCTTCTTCTCTCCCTGAAGGTGGTAGGACTATTTGAGCAGAGCTGAAGTTCCCCCCAAGGAATCTACTCCATCCTGTAAGTGTACTGATGAAGCAATAATATGCAACAGGACAAACCTTTGCAGCCCCGAAGTTTTTTCCGTAAAATCTTCTGTTCCAGAAATGTAACCATTTGAGCTGCACAGTGTATCAAAATGTTCTGTTAACTCCGCCCCTCTGCTTCTGTGAGCATGCTTGCCCGGTACAGGTTTCAGGCAGGAATGTTCTGTAACTCTGGACCCATCTCCTACTTCTGTGAGCATGCTTGCCTGGCACAAGGGCCCCCACCCTCTAACCCATAGATCTCTATATAGGGCTGCTTCCATTTTAACTCAAGGCTCAGAATTCGGAGCAGGTAAACTCTGAGGTAGCAGGCTAATGAAGGTTTTCTCCATCTCTTTGGGTAACTTGCAGATTCTCGAGTTTTCAAATTGCTGTAGTGGTGGCACTTAAGAAGTAGCACTTGAGCTGTTAACAGCTGGCTGTACCACTTTGCCACAACATTTGGCTCCCTGACCGGGAAACCAATCATACTGGCTCTTTGAGCCACCAGTTCAGATTCAGAGAGTGGCCTCTGGGAGCCCTCTGTGAAGAATGAGAGCACACCTCTGCCCTCAATGGTTACTCCTTCAACGGGTGAGGGTAACCAATGAGTGCACTTGCCTGGTTTAAACCCAGTCAGGCCTGTCCTACTGGACAGAAGGAAAGGATGATCACCTCTTGTGATCTCAAGTCAGAGACCTCAGTCAGCGACCTCCCTATGAGGGGAAGGAATGTTTTAACCTCTGAATGACTGAAAATGTGAGTGAGTGTAACCCAGCGTTACCCTCAACGACTAGTCCATGCAACTCCATGGCCTCAGTTACAGAGTCTGATTGGGAACTGAACCTGCAGTTCTGTTGCAGTGTTGTACAGTATGATGGTGAATCACCTTCTGCAGTCCCCAGATGAGGGATTACCTGTGCACCTTAGCCAAAATGTGCCTATGCTCCTTCAAAGGATGCAGAATACAGGAGGACGCCTCTATGGTCTCCATTGGTCAAAAATTTTAAGAAGGGATTTAGTGGATATATGAAGTTAAACTAAAGCCTACAAGGTTGCAGACTGTCTGTGAAATAGATGGGTCCCAGTTTAATGTAAGATGCCCCCCTAAAGGAACTCTGGATGTCCAGATTGTGCATGCAGTCTGAAGAGTTGTCACTGCCAAGCCAGGCCACCCCAACCAGTTCTCCTATGTGGATTCTTGGTTAGAGGTTGCCCAGACTCTACTGACCAGGGTTTGATTCTGTGTGTAGGAAGGAACAGAGTTAGGTTTTTGTAGCCCAAAACTATGGCCATCTCTCAAAGACCCTGAAAAAGCTAGTTCACCAGGATCCACCAGAAGAAGATTCTCAGCCACTGCCTTCTCTCCTTGAGATTTTTTTTTTGTACCAGGAATTGAACTCAGGAGGCTGGCACAGTGCCATGAGCTAAATCCCTGACCCCCTTCAGCTGCTGCCATCTGTCCCTCTACCACCAGCTCCTGCTGTTCCTGAAAGTCTGCCACTTTCAAACTCCTGACACTGTCCCTGCCTGCTAGTTCACATTCCAGCCCACCACCTTTCCAAGCAGTCAGTCCACTTCTGAAACCCTTAATGAGCCCATCTCCATCTCCAGCCATCCTTCTTTGTTCTCCTCTCCTGGCTCTAGACTTTAGTTCCTCCACCACCTGACATGGCATTGAGAATGCTTTTCCCAAGACACCTCTCATCGGGCATCTGTGGCCTGCTCAAGCCCCAGCTATCCAGCTGCCAGTCTGAGAGACCCAACCTCTACCTTATATCCTAGATGATGGCACCATACAGCCCAGGCCTGCCATTCTCTACTACCAGCCCTTTACCACAGTTGATCTTCTGAACTGGAAACAACACACTCCATCATACTCAGAAAATCCCAGGCCCTCATTGATCTCATGGAGCCCAATTTCCAGACCCACCTGCCCACCTGGGATGACTGCCAGTTGCTCTATACCCTGTTCAACACTTAAGAGAGGCATAGAATCATCACTGAGGTCAGGAAGTACTAAGGTCTGGCCAAGATCCAGTGGATTGGGCCAAGTAAATAGTTCCTGAGACCAAACCACAGTGGAACTTTCACACTACAGGGGACGAGAAGCCCTCACAAGACACTGCAGGGCTATCCTCAGAGGGATCTGAGCCACTGCCAAAGAGCCAACTAACATGCTTAAGACTGCCTCTGGGCTACAGAAGCCAGACAAGTCAGTCAGTAACTTCTGTGAGCAACTTTGCAAGATATTCTGTGTCTTTATGCCCTTCGACCCTGGACTTCTGAAAAACCAATGCACAGTCAATGCTGCCTTTGTGGCTCAGTTCAATCCTGACATCTACTGCAAACTCCAAAACCTTGAAGGGTTCACTGGCACGAATACTGCCCAGCTGCTTGAGGTTGCCACAAAGGTTTTTGCTCACTGAGACTGCAAAGCTCAATGAGAGGCAAAAGAAAAATTTTTAAAAAGGTCTCACTTCTTGCAGCTGCACTCGGAAAACCAGATCCACTTACAGACCACCACACAGGGGGAAAAATCAACTACAGACCCCCTTGCACCTGGACCAATGCGCCTATTGTAAAGAAATCGGACACTGGAAAAATGAATGCCCTAACCAAAAGCAAAGAACCCCAAGCCAAAAAGCTTCTGACTTCACTGGCCCCAAACAGCAACCTAAGCCTCTAGGGCTCAATTGGCAAGCTCCCAAATGTGCTGGCTCTCACTATCAGCATGGTCCTCCAATGCCTGGCCTGATTGGACTTGCAGAGACTGGATCTGATTAAGAAAGACCAGCTCTTTCACTCGGGGCCCCTGGGAGCCCATGGTCAAAATGACAGTTGGTGGACAACATAAAACTTTCACAGTCAACACAGGAGCAGAACATCCTGTAGTGACCACCCTGGTAGCCCCCTTTACCAAGAGGGATGCCACTATTGTGAGGGGAACTGGAGTGCAGACAGCACAGCCATTTAGCCAAGCATGGACCTGCCAATTAGGGGGACACAAAGTGGCTCACAAGTTCTTGTATCTGCCTGAGTGCCATATCCTTCTCCTTGGAAGAGATTTGCTGACTAAACTCGGGGTGCACATAATGTTTACCCCCAAGGAACCTGCTAACCTGACACTAGACATACAAGAAGAATTGATACTGTCTGCAACTGTCTCCAGAGAGGACAAATGGAAACTGCAGATTGGGAAGAAATATGCCCCTCTCCGAGTTACTAGAGACATTTCTGGAAAGAAATGAAAAGTCTCCACCTGGGAGGACCAAGAACCATGCCCAATCCCGATAGATCTTAAACCGGGGGCAAAGCCTGTCAGACTAAGGCAATTTGCTGTACCCAGAGAGGCATGACTTGGGATCCAGAAACACATCAGCCAGCTGAGGGGTGCAGGGACCCTAAAAGAATGCCAGTCTGTTACGGCTTTTGTCTAGATGTCCCCCCAAAGCCTCATGCAGTTGTACAGTGGGGCTGAATCTAGGGTACATGGTGCTGGGATTAAGGTCACACGATTTCTAAACCATATGAGTGATTGGTTTGGCATCGCCCTAATCCTGGTAGTCTGGATGGGATAAAAGGGGCAGAAAGACACTGTCAAGGTCCCTTGTTGCCTTTGCTACCTTGTGCGCCCCATGTTATTTCTCCTCTGCGATGCCTGTTTTCCGTCCCTGCATTGAAAGCCAGCCAATTATGAACTGAAACCTTGACAAACTGTAAGCCAAAAAAGTGCTTTTCCCTTTAACTTTTGGTGCCAAGTATTTTGTATCACAATGAGAGAACAGTAACTAACACACAGTCTCCTTGAAACACACTGCTGCTGCCAGCTAAAAAAACAGGTGGAAATGGATACCAACTGTTATAGGATCTCTGGGTATCAACAGTGCCACAGTTACTCTGCATCCAGTAGTTCCAAACTCCTATACCCTATTAAGTCTGCTCTAACCTTGAGCAGCCCAGTTCACCTGCCTGGATCTCGAAGATGCCTTCTTCTGTCTTGTGCTAGCCTCCTGCCCCCAAGTCAGCCTCTCTTTGCTTCTGAATAGGAAGATCCCAGTATAGGGCAAAAGACAGCTAGCCTGGACAAAACTTCCTCAAGGCTTCAGAACTCCCCCACACTATTCCAGGAAGCTGTAGCTGCTGACCTGGCTGCTGGCAAGAAACTTTAGCCTTCTTCCAATCGCTTCTAGATGCTGGTGACAAAGTATCCTGAAAAAAGGTCCAAATATGCAGGCCTTCTGTTCTGTACCTTGGAATCATCACCAAGGGACACTAGTCCCTAGGGTCTGAGAGAAAACAGGCCATCTGCTCCCTCCACAGGCCAACCCAAAAAAGAAACTTCGTGAGTTTCTAGGAGTGACCAGATTCTGCAGGATTTTAATACCTGGGCTTGCCAAGAAAGCCAAGCCCCTCTATGCTACCTTCACTGGACCAAAAATCCAATCCCTAAATGGGATGCTCAACAGAAATTTGCTCTTAAGGAGATTAAACAGCTACACATCAGCATCCCTGGGATTACCAGATAAAAGCAGAGAATTTAATCTCCTTGTTCATGAAAAGGACCATGTGGCCTTGGGAGTCCTGACTCAGATGGTAGGGTCCTGGCAGAGGCCAGTGGCCTATCTCTCCAAACAACTGGACACTATGGTGGCCAAATGGCCCCCGTGCCTCTGTGCTCTGGTGGCAGCTGTGACTCTCATCAAGGAGACAGACAAACTGACCTTGGGACAGAGGCTTCAAGTAAAAGTTCCCCATTCAGTTATGACTGTGATGAACAATCAAGGATACAAATGGCTTTCAAATGCCAGAATGGCCCAATATCGGGGGCTACTCTGTGAAAACTCCCAGGACCACCCGGGAAACCACATGACTTTAAACCTGGTCACCTTTCTGCCGCTGAAGAGGGCCAGCCAGACCATGACTGTGAAGAGGCCACTGACGAGCTGTTCTCCTGCCAACCTGACCTCACCGAAGAGCCAAAGCCTCAACCAGATGCCACTCAGTTCACTGATGGCAGCAGCTTCATACTGGATGGAGAACAACTGGCATGTATGCTGTCACTACCACAGACAAGGTCGCTGAAACAG